GGGGTTGCCTTGTTGGAAGACAGCGGCTTGAAGACCCTGAAGCATGCCAAAACATTGCTCTCGGGATTTCAACGCCACGGATCAACCTGACTGTTGCGTCTTGACGGTCCTGAATCGTGCCAGAACGCAATTCCTGAGACTTCAACACCGCGAATCAACGTAACTGTTGCACCCCCAAAATCATGAATCCTCCCGGAAGGCCGTTCATGGTACGCTGATCATGGGAGTCCATTGAACGTTTGCATTCTTTAAAAGCAAATGTACGCGGCGACGAGGCGAGAACAATACTTTGAAAAGGAGCCGCCCTGAAGCCGTGAAGCTCTTGCGTTGTCTACAACGACTGTGCTCGGCGCTGAAGCGATAACCACAATTTGAAAACGGGCCGCCCTCAATCCGTGAAACTTGCAAGTGTTGAAAACGAATGTGCGCGGCGCTAAGGCGAGAGCAATATTTTGAAAACGGCCCGCCCTCCATCAGTGAAACTGTTGTCATGTTTTAAGCTTCAGGGTCTTAAGTGGTGACGAAATTTCAACCGAAACGCCCAGAGCATCTTAAACACTGTCCTCGGGGTGCGGCAGGGAGAAAGCATGCGTAAGGAAAAGGACTGGAGGAGGAGGATGAGGAGCAAGAGGAGAAGGAGGAGGAGGAAGAGGAGGAGGAGGAGGCGGAGAAGGACAAGGGCGGCGGCCCCTGAGGGGAGGATGGCCGCGCCGTCTGATATGCGACCATCCCTGCGCCCGGGGCCCGCGCTCGCGCCGTGTTCTGGCATCCCACTCCTCCCACCGTATCCCTTCTTCTTTACGCTGTTGTGCCCACATATCAACTGGTGGCTCGGTGTGCTTCCCGCCCGTGTCGCAACGGCGGTTCCCACCTCCCCTCTTCCCTCCCCTTCTCACCCGCGCACACCTCAGACGCACGCACACGCACACACAGACGCACGCATACGCACATCAAACATAACACACATCTACCACGCACACAAACACATTCACACGCTTACAGAACTCTTCACACACATCCGACATATACACGCGCACACACGCACACATCAGAGAACCATACACTCACATCAGACAAGCGCAACGCACGCACACACACACACACACACACACACACACACACACACACACACACACACACACACACACACACACACACACACACGCACGCGCGCGCGCACGCACACGCACACGCACACACACACACACACCTGGTAAGGTTAGTGGTAGTCAGATGGGTGCGCAAAGAATGATACCTCAGCGCAGCGTGTATCCGTGACACGCTCGCAGGGCGCGGCAGGCGTGGCGTCTCCTCGACACCAGAGAGAGGTTCGCAAGAATTGGCACCTCAATGTGGCCTTTTCCGAGACAAGCTCGCAGAGCGTTGCGTGGCAGGCGTGGCATGTCTTCGGCCACTGAGGCAGTCGCGCAGGGAGTGATCCCTCAGCGCGGCTTTTGTCTGTGACGTACTCGCGTGGCGTGGCAGGCGTTTCATTCCCTCGATCGACACAAGAAGGGGGGGCGCAAGGAGTGGTCCCTCAGCGCGGCCTCTATCTGGAACACGCTCGGTATGGCTCGTCCTCGACACCACAGGAGGCCGCGAGGGGTAGTCCCTCAGCGAAGCCTCTACCTGTGACACGCTCGCAAGGCGTGGCAGAGGTGGAATTTCCTCGACACCAGAAGGGGTGCGCAATGGGTGGTCCCGCAACGCGGCCTCTACCTGTGAAACGTTCGCGTGGCGTGGCAGGCGTGGCTTTTCCTCAACACCAGATGTGGTGCGCAGAAGGTGGTCCCTCAGGGCGGCCTCTATCCGTGACACGCTCGCGGGCGTGGCAAGCGTGGCATTTCCTCGACACCAGGGGGAGGTGTACAGGGGCTGGCCCCTCAATTCGGCCTCTATCTGTGACACGCTCGCAGAGCGTGTCGTTTCAAGCGTGGCATGTCTGCGGCACCTGAGGTAGTCGCGCTGGGAGCGGTCCCTCAGCGCGGCGTCTCTCCGAAACACGCTCGCAAGGCGTGGCAAGCGTGGCACTTCCTCAACACCAAAGAGGGGTGCGCAGAAGCTGGTCCCTCGGCGCGGCCTCTATCCGTGATACGCTGGCAGGGTGCAGTCGGCGTGGCATGTCCTCGACACCACAGGAGGTGTGCAGGGGCTGGTCCCTCACCGCGGCCTCTCTCTGTGGCACGCTTGCGAGGCGCAGCAGGCGTGGTGCTGCCTCGATACCAAGAGGGGGTCGCAAGGTTTAAGTCGGGCCTGTCCCCCTACAGAGGGGTTTCCGAGGAAAGCTAAAACAATACTCCAAACATATTCCAAACTGTTAAAACAACAATGCTCAAAAAATAATCCCCTGACTATTTTTGGATCATGTTTGGACTATTGTTGGGGTATTTTTTATTTTTCGTCGAAAATCCCCCTGTAAGGGGACAGGCCCGACTGAACGCAAGGTGTTGTCCCTCAGCGCGGGCTCTACCCGTGACACGCTCGCCAGGCGTGCCAGGCGTGGCATGCTCCCCACAGCGGGAGAGATCGCAGGGGCTGGGCGTCTCTATCCTTAGGTCGGGCCTGTCGCCCTACAGGGGGGTTGGGTACGAAAAAAATATCCCAAACATGCTCAAAAGATGCCCAAAAATTCCAAAAAACAAATAGTCCCCAGACTATGTTTTGACTGTTCTTGAATTTTCCCCCTGTAGAGGGACAGGCCCGACTTAACTCTATCCTTAGCGCACTCGCAGAGCGTCGCAGGCTCAGTGCTTCCGTGGCACCGCCCATGCCCGTGGTGCGGCCGGGGGGGGGGCGGGAGGCTCCTCCTGCACACCGGAGGGAGGGCGCAGGGCATGCGACATGCTCCATCCGGACACGAGGGCGGGAAGAGGAGCACAGGGGGTTGGAAGGAGGAGGAGGAGGAGGAGGTGGAGGTGGAGGAGGAGGAGGAGGAGGAGGAGGAGGAGGAGATGGAGGTGGAGGTGGAGGTGGAGGTGGAGGAGGAGGAGGAGGAGGAGGAGGAGGAGGAGGATGTGGAGGTGGAGGAGGAGGTGGAGGTGGAGGTGAATGGGGGAGGGGAGGGCATGATGATGATGAGGAGGAGGAGGAGGAGGATGAGGAGGAGGAGGAGGAGAAGGTTTGGGGAGGAGGGTGAAGTTGATCAGTGCAAGCCCAACCTGCATCATCGACGTCGCAATAAGCCCTCGCTCCAAGTTCCCTCGCCAGAAGCCCTAACTTACAAAAATCGATCTGCTTTGCGGGAATCTCCCCATTGGAAAACAACCGTTTGAGAACTTCCCAACCGTGACAAAGTATACTTTTCCTGGGACTTCAACGTCGCGGGTCAACGTGACCGCTGCGTCCTGACAGTTCGCAATGCTGCCCGAACCTTTCCTGGCAATCCAACACCACGATTCGGCGCGAATGCTGCGCCCCGGCAGCCAGGATCGTGCCAGACGCACGACCCTTGGGACTTCGACGGTGCGAATCCCTGCGCACGCTGCGTGCTGCTGCGGCGAGTGTGCGCGGCGTCCCGGGCGAGAACCGCGCCCGAAGAAGCGGCACCGCACCCCCGCCGCGAAGCGGTGGCGAAAGACGTCTCCGAGGCACGGTGCGCGGCGCAGATTTTGTCCGAGAGCGGCCCGCCCTCCGACCTCCTGGAAGCGGTTGCGGGAGGAGCTCTCGAACGAGGAGCGCGGCGCCGAGGCGAGGGCAGAACTCTGAAAGCTGCCCGCCCTCCATCCCTGCAGCTGTTGCCGGGAGCTTTCAAATGCTGTGCGCGGCGCCGAGGCGAGGGCAGAACTCTGAAAGCTACCCGTCCTCCATCCCAGAGGCTGCTGCACATGTAGCGCGCCCGACCCGCCCTGCCGACACCCCTGGGTGTGCGACGGTCAGGAGTTATGTATAAGGAACAGGGATGGAGGAGGAGGAGGAGGAGGAGGACGACGAGGAGTATGAGGGGTAGGACGAGGAGGACGAGGAGGACGAGGAGGACGAGGAGGCAGTGGGGCGCAGTCCAAGATGAGGAAGAGGGGGAGGAAGAGCAGGAGGATGATTTGGAGGAGGATGTGAGGGAGGGAGGGGAGGCGGAGTAAGGGAACGCCACCTTTGCGAAAGCGCGGCATTCCCTACACACCAAAAGGGGGTGCGGTATCTATCCGGAACGTAAGATACCAACGCCAGAAATACACAACGTATATGGGTTTCCTCAGTCGCGTAAGTTTCTAGATCTGCCGACGGGTGCCATAACGGACTTGGAACCCCCAAACGGACCCCATCATGTCATGCGCAATCACAAACGGGGAAGCTGCGTAATTACATTGGAAGAGGAGGTGGTGGATAAACAAGATGATGAACAGGAGGAAGAGGAGGAGCCCGAGGAAGGCGGAGGACAAAGAGGAACAGAAGCGGCAGGAGCGGGAGAAGAGGGAGGAACAAGATGACCAGATCCAGCAGAGTGACCTGCGCTGAGACGAGAGCGCTATTCTGAACGATGGGAGCAGGCTGCCGATCCTACAATAAGGCCAACGCTGCAGCAGGAACACAATTTGGAGACAGAGACAACGTTCGGATTGCGATGACCATAAGAAAGATAAGCCGTTGAACATTCGAGTAAAACAAGAAACCCCAACGGGTGGCGGGCAACTCCCCGGACATCTTCGGGGGAGAGAGCAACATGGCATTCATATCAAGCCAGCGGTGCGCTCGCGCCACATTTGACATTCTGCCCCTCCCACCCACCCCTTCCCGTTGCGCCGATTCTTCAATGGCGGAAGGGAGTAGGAGCAAGGCCTCCTCCTACTCCTCCTCCTCCTCCCCCTCCTCCTCCTCCTGCCCCTCCTCCTTCAACTCCTGCTCCTCCTCCTCCTCCTCCTCCTCCTCCTCCTCCTCCTCTTCCTACCCTCCTCCTTCCCCTCCTCCTCCTCCCCCTCCCCCTCCTCCTTCTCCTCCTCGTTCTTTTCCTCCTCCCCTGCCCCAGCTCCCCCCTCCCGATCTCCCCCCGGCTTCGGCCCCGGCTC